AATATCAAGTACTTAATAAAGTACTTTTTTTAATATTCAAACAGAAACCATATAATATAATTTAAAGTATAATAGCCTCTTACAGTTGAGCTTTAGTAATTAAATATTACTATCCATTTAATTTGACCAAAAGCAAACTTTTTTTTTGTCCTAATGACAGAATTTTGGTCAATTAACAATTATCATACATCACTCATCTGTCCAACTATTGGATTCAATGTCACATGGTGTTACAAAAAAGAAAGTAACATACAGACAAGTTCTGGCAATAAGGTAGATAGTGTTTATTACACCGATAGCTTATAGTTATTTCCATAAATGGCAAAGATTACAGACACATCAACTCTTCTTATCGAAATAAGACATAAAACTAACAGGCAACTGTTTTCAGCTAGACAAACTTATCATTTCTGAAAGCATGTTTTAATAATCAGTATGATGAATTACAAACAGTTGCCTTTTATTATTTGTTGTTGACTCCATAAAAACAACAAGTGATTAGTAAAACAAGTTCGGTTTGAATTTTACAACCAACTGGAATTAGTTTGAATTTAGTCACGCATTGTTAAATGCTGTATCACAAGAATAGTATTTACAAGTACAAAACCATATTGTGTTCAACTGTATATTTATTAAAAGATTTCCAGATTTGTTCACTATTCCACAAAGTATTATGACTAAACACTAGATTACAGCATCCATCATTTTTCTTTAAGTATTTGAAACAAATAAAAAAAAAACATTTCCACCCTAACTTTTACCAAACAAACTAGTATTTCCGATTTAACCCTTTCCAGAAATGTAAAAAAAACCTAGTAATTTCAATTTGGGTAACCCATTGCAGTTATTTCACCTTCTAAAGATTCATAACCCATACAAAAAAAAAACATTCACAACCAGATTTTAAAATTTGAATATATTTTAAGCTTTGTAGTTAATAAGCATCAAACTAGAAAAAGCAAATGTTAAAAGGATGCTGATGTTATCCTTAATCCTTTCACTGCTCTGCACATCATAGGATGTTTTAGGTTTTTCCCAATATTTGGTTATACCAGTGATCTATAGATGTCACCCCAACACCTAAACATGGCAGAAAAAAATGTATATAGCGTAAACATTAAGCATTTATACAGCAGTTTTAGTGATGTATATTAGTGTGATAAGTATAATATTTCTACAGTACAGTTGTGTTATTCACAACAGTGTTGTGTTAACAACACTGTGCTAGTGCGTGAGATAAGAGGAGAGCAACACCACATCTGTAAAAAAAAACAAGTCCTCTTTGCCCTCTCATCTTATTTTGTGGTCAGTGAGGGATGCCTTAAAACTAACTGACCTCCTTCCTCACACCACCAAGCCTACATACAGAGAGGTCATTATATGACTTTTTGGTGTTTTGACTTTTTTTTTTTTGCACATGGGGTGTAGTTTTTTTTCCACCCACATCAACCTGAGCAATGAAAGGGTTAAGGATCTGACAAAGGATTACAAATCTACATCCACATGGTTATTACTTCCCAAAGTAACATATATCAATAACTCATAGTAAAACATATCATATTCCTAATAACTGTGAATAACTTCAAAAAAAGTCTCAATGTTATAAAATGAATCTGGTGATGACACTTACACATTACAGACATGGTAAGTATGGCTCTATATTATGTGCTATGGAACAAGTAAAATTATGTAATAAGACCAAAAAACATTACTGGGCACAGCTAATGGGAAGCCTCTACTCAATTTTCATCAACAAGGAAGCATTTATATGCAACATGACAAGATCTGTAGTACACAAATCGAGATGCTGACAAACCTCGAGCTAAAGCAGAAACCAATACTGAAAAATCTCTCTATGTTATATCTGTGTATTTCATCAGCTAACCAAGACCCCCACCATTAAGATGTAATTCTGCAAGACTCGGAGTCAGGAATAAACATCACAATGCCAAAGAACACAGTGCACACAAAAGAATCTCATTTATACTTGGCAGAAATTTTAAATGTTTTACTGTTTTCTTGTAATAAAGAAAAAAAAAATATGCAAAAATATTCCCTTAACCCTTAAAAGATTATAGAGATAGTTCATATGTATAAATTTCAGAAGCTTTTATAGTTGTTTTTTTTAAATTTTGAACACTATCTTTACATTTAAAATATATAAATTATGATTATTTTTGACAATTTCAAGTTTTATACCTTTCTCATAAATGTCATTAGAACTGAATAACTTACAAAACTGTATATTCTTATCTACAATAAGCTCTGGTTGAAAAGAACTAGTACTCTTCGGGGTGGGTTAGGGGGGTCCTCAAGGGCGTCTTACCCAATAAACTTAAGTTAACTGAAAATATCCTTTAAGTATAATTCTGATTAACTGTACTAATTACCTTCAATAAAGTACTTACAGTAAAAAATGAATAGCACTTTACACCAGTTTATAGTTTATCAAGAAATGAAAAACACCCCCCCCCCCATATTTATTGTAAAATAACATACAAGTTGGTATTTGAATAGTGATATTTTTAATTCAATTGCTTTGTATTTTTTACAGCCAAAGCTTTTGTAATTTTAGTAAAAAAATTTTCTAATGAATTACCTTAAATAAAGTACTTACAGTAAAAAATGAATAGCACTTTACACCAGTTTATAGTTTATCAAGAAATGAAAAACACCCCAACCCCCCACACACACATATTCAGCAATTCATTGTTTAAGTTTTTCATTTCACTACATGTTTTTGCACAAAACAATTAGGATAATTTGGTTGGTTTCAACAAATAATATACTCAAGTAATGTGTAAAAACAACTGAATACCATAATGACAACCAGAGGGCTAAAAACTTTAGTAGTATTTAGGTTTAACTGTAGTAACACAACCTTTAAATAACAGTCACGTATCTGATTTTGGTTTAGTAAACTTTAATATACACTGCAGTTTAACTGTAGTAACACAACCTTTAAATAACAGTCACATATCTGATTTTGGTTTAGTAAACTTTAATATACACTACAGCTCACATTTTCTTTTTCTAAGTACAGTTCTTAAAAAATTACACAAGAACAAATAAATAAAAAATATGCTCATAATCAGGAATGAACACACATCACAGTACCATTAGTACTTTAAGCTGCTACTTTACACAGAATAAAGAAATCCTTTCAATAGATTCAGATCTATCTCACCTTAAGATATAAGCACACAAAATCACATGTGGTAATGACAAATAATGTATATAATTGTAAATGCATTACATAGATAAAGAATTGTGTTAAGAGAAATGGTACCTTAAATAGCTCTTATCCATTCTTTCCAAATAATACACACTATTACATAGTAAGATTAAAGAAACTAACATTACGTCAAAAGTACTTCAAACACAGTAACTAGCTAAGAAGAGTTCTACAGCAAAGGTATGTATCTAAAGAGAATTTGGATCTTTTTGGTTCACCAACAAAAAAACATTGTTTTAGATATAAACAGTTATTATTAGACTCCTTGATACTATATTATAATAGATAAAATAGTTTGATAAAATGTGCAAAAAAAAGAGTTTATTATTAAAATGAGTAAAACACAAGAAGCTGTAGCTAAAACTTACAAAATCTTCCGCCATCTTGAAATTATTTAGTCATAAACAAATGACTCATTTAAAAAAAAAATTATTGAGAACACGTTGTATTAATTTAAGGTAACTTTTAAATACCAGCCTACTAATAAAAGTAACTAAAATTACTTACCGTTATTCAATACACATTAAACTGTTAAACTAATCGTATAATTGCGCCTATCTTAAATGCTTAACTTTGTAATAACTAAACGCTGTAGGAAGTGATTTTTAGTGTTTTATTTAACCTTTCGGTTTATATAACTCACCCTGGAGCTGAACACTTGCTGTATTGAAACAATTTCTTTCACACTCTTAAATTAATAATAAAAATGGTATATCCATTTAAAACAAAATAATTTGAATTATTTTTCAGTAAAGTGATTTAAACTTCAATATTGTATTTTTCAATCCCCAGCATGTCTAGAAAACTGTCCTGTTTTTGAGATTCATCATCATTTTCATTGTAGTCTCAATTAAAACAAGCCTTCAAACATCTATTATTTTCACTTACATCTACATCACCTACGTTTCATGGCCAGTTATTTTCAAATGTTCCTGGTTTGTCATACAGAGAACTATCACCTATAAATATTTAAAACATTGAAAAAAATACTTTTATTAATTTGAGAGAGATATATATATATATATAGCAAGTTACTTAAAAAATGAACAATGCAAATACTGATCTTAGCATTACAGATGGAAAACTTTTTTGTATCTTTACTGTCACATTTACAGAATTAAAATATCTTGAAATATTCCTAAAAATTACATTATAAAAGTTCGGAAATTATTCTAGATTGAATACAATCATTAAGAATGTTTACATCCACCTTTAGACATCATGATTACATCATCACAAGAATCCTTAGACACGTACCACTAATGTAACACGACAAAACAAGTAATATTTTATACAACACTGGAAACCTTTGCCACAATTTGACCTTATGATGAAACAAGCTATTCTGAATCCAGAAGCATTGTGAATTATTGTAAAGTTTTAAATATTATCCAAAAGACTAGAGTACTTTCGTCTTTTTTGAAAGAATTCAAGCATCAGTTTTTAGACTGAAACATTTATCATCTTACCTAGTATCGGACCCCACCACCATAAGACTGGTTAATTGCAGTTTGGGCAGCTCCAGCAGCTGCTGACTGAACATGTTCATTATGGAGAACTCCTTGGGCAAACTCTTGTTGAGCTTTAGCAAAGCTTGCACCAGTGTTACGATAAATACGATGCACCTAATAATGATAACATGAGGTTAACAATATCAAAGACACGCATTATATTCAGATGGAAATCCATATATATATGATATATATATGAAAGGAAATCCATATATATATGATATAGAAGACAAAGTTATAAATATATCTCCCCCCCCAAAAAAAGTGAAATAACCGATCTCTGGTCACATCATTAGCAGCATTTTTTAATTAAACCTTGAATTAATATTAGAAATATATTCAAGCTCCCTGCAATAACATAACAAAAATACTGTATTATTAAGGATACAAAACCAAATAATAAAAGTTTTAATTATCATACATGGTACTCTTATATGTAAAATCCTCTTAAGATTACTCTCAGGGATCGGTGGAGTCCAGGGAAGGGTGTTTACAGATGCAAAGTTTCCACTGGCCAAAAGTGGATTTAAGGATTTTTTGACACCTTAAAATGCATTTTCTGAATGTAATTTATGTTTTGTTGTTGTCTAGTTTTGGTGTATTTTATGTCTATAGACAATTACACAATTCTGTACAGTCAAGGAAAATGTTTAGTTTAATTCATAATTTTATGTTACTCATTTTTATTTTTTAAGGTGTACAGATTTATACGAGGTTAAGACACACAGAAGATAGTTCTGAAGTCACAGAACAATGCTTCCTTACCTTCAGCAGCATAAATCCTATCATTAGAGCAGCGAGTCCCCACAAGAATCCAATGATCAAGACAATTCCACCAACAGCATAGCTGCTTAGTGTAATAGGGGGTGTTCTCAGTGCACCAATGCCATTCACAAAACCACTATAAAATGCCATTCGAAAAAAAGATACCTCTTTTAGAGTCAATTATTCAACTCTGCAAATAAATTAAAAATTAAAATTTAAGTTGTTATAAAACTATGATTAATCAAATGTCAAGTACATATACACACATTAGTTTAGAATGCTTGGAAATTTTTGTGACAATCTTTGAAACTCGTATGTCTAGTACTGTAAAACCTTTCATTAAGAAAACATGAAACAATCATTTCATTCATTAGATATTATCTAATTGTACTTTTGTCTGTAACTTTGGAAGGTTAAGATTACACAAAGAAATTTGTGGTGTTTAAAAATCAAGTATAGTATGTGGGCATACTATACATTAAAGTTAAAAACTGCATGTAAAATAAATATAGCTATAATTTAGTTACATAGAAAACAAACAGCTTTTTATTAGTGTTTAGTATATTTTAGGTTTAAGAACATAAACGTGTGGGTGTAATGTTTTATTTCATAGTTGATAACCCAATTTTTCTATTATAAATAGAATTAATTCAATGCTTTTATTAAAATGCGATTATTCATTTAAAAACTTACCATGCTCCAGTGTCCGGGATCCCAACAGAGTACAATCCAGCAAGCAACAGTTGAAAGAAAAACACAAAAAAGAAAACCATGAAGTTGAAAGAGCTATCACTCCTGTTAAAGAAATGGAAAAATATCTTAAATATTGCAAAATGGATTTCTTATAGTCTCTTAGTACTTCACTTTAATTTTACAATTTCAACACACTGATTATAATTTTACATGACATTACAAGAATTGTTTAAAAACACTTTAAACCCAAATAGGTCTAAGATAATGAGTACTGAGTGATGCTTGAACAAGATTAATAATTACCTATTCTTTATTAAACTAAAATCATTAGAACAGCAGGAACAGTATTATATTCTCACTTCAACTACAATTACTAAAGGTAATAGTCTTTTTATATATAAAATAATAATAGCCATAACCAAATAGTTGTTCTACATGTCGCACTACAATCAGACAACCATCTTTCTACATGTCGCACTATAATCAGACAACCATCTTTCTACATGTAGCACTATAATCAGACAAAAAGATGGTTGTCTGATTGTAGTGCGACATGCAGAAAGATGGTTGTCTGATTATAGTGCGACATGTAGAAAGATGGTTGTCTGATTGTAGTGCAACATGTAGAAAGATGGGTCTGATTGTAGTGCGACATGTAGAACCATCTTTCTACATGTCGCACTACAATCAGACAACTATCTTTCTACATACCACACTACAATCAGACAGCCATCTTTCTATGCATTAAACTAGCCACAACACCAAATTGTGTTTATACATATTACATTACAATCACAACAACCATATTTTTACATATTTAGCTACAACAGTCACAACAAGTGGTTTTTCTACATGTTCAACAATAATCATAACCCAATGTTCTTTGTACATATTAAAGTACAATCAACAGTCTTTCTACACATTTGACTACAACTACCAGCAATCCATATGAGCTGAACACTCAGCTAAATGTATATACCACAAAAAAAAAATTTCATACACACACACGCGACAATCTTCATATATATATATATATATATATAAGTCTAAAAACTAACCTGAAGGCCTTGTAGAGTGGGCGGAACCAACATAAAAATGACAACGGAGTGAACAGAATAAAAGCCAGAAGGGAAAATCCAAAGGTTGTTCCTTCACCATAGACCACTAACAGGGCAAGAGCCCCCAGCATATTCAGGAACAGAAGACAAGAATAAACTGAAAGAAGTGCATAATAACAGAACATTTTAGTTATTCAAATATTAGTAAACTAAACAATTTTGTACTCACACTATCAGAGTATAAAATCAGACTTCCTATCTGCGGTTTCTGTTGGGAAATAGGAACTTTAAGAATTTTCATGTTTATAAGTTCAGAAAATACGACATGCTACATAAGAAGAATGAACCTTGGATAATGTTTATTACTTCAATAAATTTGGAAACAATGCGTCATTTCACTAATGTGCAATTATGAACCGTTGTAAGAACGCAACAGAATCTAATACTTCAAATGAAGTGTGTTAAACATACCGAATATCTCTTGATCAAGAAACCAATTGTATTACAATGGATAATACAAGCAGTCATAGGTAAGTTTATGAGATGTGTAAAAATCCTGTTTATTTTCACTATAACAGCAAAAAAGTCTATGTAACTCGTTATTCAAATATTACTGCTAATGAAAGGTGTATGTTAAATATTTAACCACAGAATATTTAAAATTCACCAAACTAAATATACAAAATATGTCTTAGTGGGGGTATTTAAAAAATATATTATATGATAGTATAGTTTAAAACAGTGTATAGTGAATATCGTTTTGAAGTCATGGAATCTATTAATTTATTTTCTATTCTGATAAAGATCCTGAAAGAAATTCCTTAGTGTAAAGCTATAGCATACAACTTTTAAGCCAGTGAACAAGAAGTACAAAGTAATTCATCGTGTTACAATGCACTAAGGTAATCCAAGCTCACTACCAAGCAAAAGTGCATTATAATGTTAAATAAATCACAAAACATAATGTAATAATGTATAAGAGTAACACCAATTATGTATTGACACTAATTAGTCAAACTTATGTGACTGTAATCAATAACAAAGTATGTACAATGTACCATATACAATCCAGGCTAAAGAGTTACTTACATATCCATACGTAGTAAACACTTTTGACGAGCTTCTGAAACTCTAGAGGAATATCGACCGAAATATCCTGATAAAAACAAGGTCCTACACAAAACTTCTGTGGAAGTGGTGGCCAGTTATTTGCTCGAGCTGTTAACAAAAGCGAAGAAATGTCAACTGAAATGTTCCCATTAGAACAAGGTCTGACAAAAAAAATTTTTTTTTTTTGAAGTGGTGGTCAGTTACTTGAATATGACTGAATGGCCACTGATAAAAAACTGCCTAACAAAGTAAATAGACACCATGATGTTTATTCAATAGTCATTTAATTAAGAAAGGCATCCAGTGGTTCCCATGGCCAAGTCAGTCACCTGATATGAACCCCATCGAGCATGTATGGGCCATACTTGCTCGAGCAGTGAGAAGAAGTTCCAGAAAACCAGCGTCCCGTGGACAGCTACTTGATGTTTTGCATGCAGATTGGGTCAAGATCCTACAGGAGAAAATTGCAGAACTCATCAATTCCATGCCAGAACGAGTCAAACCACTGAAAAATGACTCATCTATTCCATGCCAGAACGAGTCAAACCACTGAAAAATGCTAGTGGCAAATCGACTAAGTACTGATGCACATTTGTAAACATTTTTGTCAAGTTGATTATGCGAGATAAATGACTATTGAAAAAAATCATGGTGTCTATTTACTTTTGAGATGTCTCTGTAGAAGCGGGTTTCTATCGTCTTTAGTGTTAGTCCCAGCCGGTGACAGGACAACAACAAAATTATGGTGTCTATTTACTTTTCAGATGTCTCTGTATATCAAGAACAGTGGATTCAGGCCATTTACATATGTTGTCAGTAAATGAACTTATCTTTTGTTGTGCAAGTAGTTCTTAGCTTGTCGTACGTGAGGAGCGTTGAAACTCATTAAAAATAAAATAAAACCCATGCCTCAAAATCAGAGGGCAGTCTTGGCAAGTTACCAAAATATTCCTCCTAGCCAGCACTCAATATTCTCATGCTGTTGCCTCACCATTGAATTACTGATTTGGATTTACCTTTTTACTATTATAAATCACCATTACACATTTATTTAATAACTTAAAATTTATGCCCAGTGTAAGTATATTTAAAATAATCTAATAAACATTTTTTTTCTGGTATTTCAAGTTTTATATAAGGTTCAAATTTCATATTCAAAACAGCAGCAAAATTAATTAGTCAATAATTAAACTTTAAGGTACTCAAATTAAGTTTTCTTACAATAAATTTGGAGAAAAAAAAAACAACACTTAACTAATTCGATGACGAGGAACCCACTTTGAGATTAATAATGGCCAGAGACTGATGATGACAAAACCTTGTTGAAACGTTGTACATTTGCTGTTATGTTCAACTTATATTAAAGTTTTTCTTCATTACCCATTCAAGCCATCTCCAGCCATTATAACACTTAACTAAATCTTTGAAACATGCTTCTGATTCACTACATGTATTTACAGTTTTTCAACATATTACATATATATAAGTTTATTAATGTAAAACTATTATAACCTCATTATTAAATACTGTAAGTAAAATATGTGATTTAAATATATGTTGGGACTGAAAACAACATACAAGTTTTGGTTACAATATTATGGGAAACAACTAGCCTTATAATCATGCTTAAACATCTTTTGAATAAAATAGTTAACTTACAAGAAATAGTCTTTGAACTAGTATAAATATTCTTTAGAACTTAAAATACCAAGGCTTCGAAAACCCTTTAGCCACTGGTTTCTTGGTGCTCCACGAGACAAGGTGTTGTACCGAATCACAAATCTCAGTGATACCATCCTATTCTCACCTTTAATACATAACTTTAACAACTTACTTAACTGCTTTCCATCTAAAACTAATTTTCTTTTGCACTTCACACTATTCAATGACATAAACTAACCAAACAATTATTAATGTAATATTTCAAATGTTATATAGATCTTGTTTATCAATTTGAATGATTAATTAATTAGTTTTGAATTAACAGAGCAAGTTATTACACCTTTCTACACATTCACAATGCTGATAAAATAACTACACTATTAAAATCATGATTATTTTAGTAAATTTATATGTAATTAGTAAGCAAAAATGACAAGAAAATTAATAGAGTGAAAAAAACTTCTGTTGTAATACTTGGAAATGGTGGAACGAAATCTTTAGTGTTATCAAACTTCTGTCTTTGCATTAGCTATGTTTTAGTAGTTTATATTTTTACATTAAAACTTTACACTTTAAATTTTACAGCTAAAACATGTTTAGCATAAGAAAACATCTGAGTACTGCTTTAAATATTATAAATAATTAGACTAATTTTAATGTAACTTTTTCTGAGGCAATATAATTTTGAAATGACTGTTATAGGTGAGAGTTAAAATGTTTGTAAGAGAAAAGCATAAAGGACAGTAATTTGGGAAAATCTAATTTTTTCAATCCATATTTTAGAACACTAATCATCAAACAGTTAGTCTGCTGAATAATAATTATGACAGTATGTCACATTATCCAAACATCTATAGGATCTCACAGGTGAGTAAAAGACTATACATAAAAAAAATAAAAACTGTTTACGTCCACCACTATATGAGGCTTACTTTATTTGCTTTACACTTCCAAGCAGCACTGATGAGCTGTGAATTCAGTGAAACTAGTCTGCTGCAGCAGAGATAGTGAATCAAAAAAAGCTTGGACTTCTAAATTCATCTTTCCAATGAAATTGGCATTCTTGTAAAGAAGGAAGTTCACAAATAAATAAGTTTTTCATTTTTAAAACTGTTTATAGAACCACTTCAACAATGTTCCTTCTTACAATATTTTTGTTAACTTGCTCCACACAATACGTATGTAATTTACAATCTATTTATATTCTAACCCTTCAATGATTCTGTCTAAGCCTTTTTTCTATGTAACACGGTTTAAATAACCTGACGAAGTACTTCTGCCCGAAACGTTGCAAATAATAATAAAGTTTTTGTTATAGACGTGTGTTTCACCAATTTTAAACACTTTTAATTCCTTATTTTTCCATGCCTTGCAGTCTTTTCTACTGTGTTTTTACAAATAAATAAGCATGAACTGTGTCAGTGCAAGGCAAAATAAATTTATACTGAAAATATAACTTAATGTTTATCATGCTTCAAAACTACTTTACCTAAACCAAAGACCCACTTAAAGTAAGACATTCCTGTGTGTGAAATTTCAAGCAGGCTGTTCATTCTAGAGTAATCAGCAAAATGATATACAAAGTGTGAGTAAAGCTGATCCTTTTCACAATGTTTATTAAAATGCTTAGTCATTTGATTTGTATTACTTAAATTGTAAAAATATACCCAGTTTTCATTCTATTTAGGCCTGTATGATTATTATGATTTTTTATGTAACAGCTCATGTTTTTGTTTTTCAGAAAAGGCAGAGAAACGAAATGTTCAGGAAAATCATTTGTCCTTTTTTTTTTTTAAAGTTCTTTCATTTTTACATCAAACTACTTCTGCTGTTTGACTTCATGCACTTCTAGTTTCTGATATTTTGTTAAATTATTATAATACAAAAGGGATAACTTACCATTATAAGGTGCACTGCGTAGTGCCTCCTCTTTGGCTTGAAGCTCAGCTGCCTTCCTTTCTAATTCCTAGATATAACAGCAAAAAATGGCAACATTTACTTATGTCTAGCATGTTACATTTCTGAATGAATCACCAGTTTTGTAATTAACTAAAATTTTCCACTGCCTAAAACAAGCAAAACACAAAAGTTAGGATTACAACGAATTACTCTTCCAAGTTCAACAAAAGGTTTTATTTTATAGGTACATGATTAGTATTTATTTCTAATTTGAATTAAGTTAACATTTATACTAAACTTAATCAATTCTTCATTTACAAAACTAAAACAATTTTAGTAAAAAAAAATGTAAAACTATTAAGAAAACATCTCATTCAAAAACAAGAAAAATAATTATTTTCTAAAAGCACAATTTAAAAATTAAAAAAAAGAAACTAAAAGGTACCAAGATCTGCCAGTAATCAGGAAAATTTAACAATTTAACCCATAAGGAAAACAAAAGACAGGTTAAAAAAGGAATAAACAGGAGTACTTACAAAATGTTTAGAAATACACATGAAAACAACAAGAAAAAAACTATGGCTGAAGGTTGTTTCCCAGTGTACTGATGGCATGGTGTAATCTGTAACTTATCGTCTTCTCAATGAAAAGTGTTTTACAATAAATGTTTTCTAGTGGCAGTTACATGTGCTAAACATTACCTATGAAGCTACTTTTAATTCTCAACGTATACCACTATACGAGATCTACAGATATTAGGTTTTGTTTTTTTAGTGCAAAGCTACACAATGGGCTACCTGCACTGTGGAAAAGAACCCCAAATTTTAGCATTTTAAGACTGTAAACTTACTGTTAACCCACTGATGGACCAGGTATTACGTATTTTAAGATGTACTAACCTCCTGCCTCCTCTGAAGTTCTTGGGTGTTGATGGATTGAGTAGTAGTGGGAGAATAAGCAGGTGGAGGTTCCGTCACTGGTTGCATCACTGCCGACTGGTTGGGAGATTCTGAATTCGTTGACTGAGGTTGGTACTGAGGAGGATTTCCTCCCAACTGAGAAGGCTGCTAATGAAATAAAAATGCATTGCAATTGTACCTTTGTTTAACAAAAACTTTGATGAAAAAATACTTTCATCAGAGTATAGAGCACTAAATGACTACAATGCAATGATACATTCAGATACCGGTGTGTGTTTTTCTTATAGCGAAGCTACATCAGGCTATCTGCCGTGTACATCAAGGTGAGTCGAACCCCTGATTTTAGCATTGCAAATCCATAGACATACCACTGGGGGGACTTGGTAACTAGCCATCAGTGAAATGTTTAAAGTAAGTCAAGAAAATATTTCATCATATATTTTATAAATGGATCATTCCAAAATATGTGATAGTAAAAAAAAAAAAAGTCTTAAGCAAATTGACACTACTTTGGTAGTATACCTTTGACATCTTCACTAGTTTGTAAACAAACTAGACCTCAACCACCTTTTACTAAAAATAAGTGGCAAATTTCACCCAACTCTGAAAACACTTTTTTGAATGGCTGCATTCCAACAATACATTTTGGCTGTGGCCAAATGTACAAAAACAGTATGATCTTAGAAATTTCACATTGTCATAGTATAAATAATTGTACACATAAAAATACTTTTAAAAAGTACGTAAATGTACATAAACACACTTAAAATTCACCCAAAAAATGATAGTAACACTGTCAGAAGCAATGAATAAATAATTTTAACTTGCCATTTCAAGAAAATTCAACATAAACTTCATATCTTAGTTATTTTAGTACAAGAAATAAAGTGGATGAGACAATAATAAAATATTTCAGTAATACAATATTTTATTATTTGTAAACATCTGGTTAGAAATTCAACTTTTTCATGAGAGAAGTCAGTTAGTAATGTTTTGTTTTTTAAACCTAAATGTTTGTAGAAGAAGCCACAATCTACCCATTTATTGCATACCAATACAAAAATGTTCTCTACTGATTGGCATAAAAAGTGCACAATAACACCTTTTTTTAGATTCAGAAAATCTTGAAATTGAGGTTTTTTACATTTGAAACTATATATACATGTATATAAACTTTGCTTTTATCTTGTTTCCAATCTAAATGTTTAGATTAGTGGCTGCTTTAAAAAAAAAAAAATTGGTGAGTACTATTAGTAATAATTTGACAACTATTAGTAGCAATTCATTTCATAAAAGAAAGAAAAAACAGTTAATCTAAACATTTAGGTTACAACTATGTTAAATCAAACAATCAAGAGGTTTTTAGCAACTTATTATGAAAGTTAACATGTTATCAAAAATATTTTGTCACCAATATTAATTTCATTAGTTTTAAAAGTCAGACAGGAAAAGATATTTATGATAAATACAAAATATTTGTACAAAAAAACACAATTTTGTAACTTTTTTGTAACAAAAATAGTCAGAATACAGCATTTAATTGTATGCTAAATTCTTATACTTAAAACACGCTATACATAGAATGAAGTTTACTGACACAATTATGTACAATTGTATAAGCATAAAACCAAGTTATCATTATTTTCAGAAAATTTAAACCAGCAAATATTCCTTTATTGAAATAATTATATCAGTAAATGTGAAAATAAACTAACTCCTATTTAGCCTTGAAAAATATTGCTGAATAAAGTATAACTCCTATTTAGCCTTGAAAAATATTGCTGAATAAAGTATAACTCCTATTTAGCCTTGAAAAATATTGCTGAATAAACTATAACTCCTATTCAGCTTTGAAAAATTTTGCTGAAAAAAATATTTTTTTTTTATGGTTAATTATTAAAATTAGCAACCAATTTTAAAATGTTTTACCATATAATACAAAATCATTTCAAACTAAGTAAATAGCTCAAGACAACCAATTCTCCATATTTCGGGGAAAACTACAGCATTTCTTAATTTCAAGTAAAACCAAGCACTAATGATTTTGTTGCGAACACACTGAAATCCATCCAAAATCAAAAATTTGATTTAATTTTTTTTTTAAATAAATAAAACCAATTTTATTGAATAAATTTCAACTATTTAAGTTTTTTTTTAATGTGCAGAAAAGCTACTAAAGATTTATTTTCTATAATTATTCTTAATTGAATAGTGAAATTCTGCTCTTGAAGTAGGCTGCACCTATCTTGGTGTGAATGAATTAATATATATATATATATATATATATATACACACACACACACACACATACATGTTCCCATAATATTTAATTATAATATTAAATCAGTAAAAACATTTATTATATAACAGATTACAAAGACCAAAAGGTTAAATGTCTGCTAAACATTACTGTTCATTTCATTTAAATACTAAAGTAAAATTAAATATAATTAAAGATAATTTCATAAATAAATTTATACTACAGGGTGTTCCAAAATTATAGTCTTTCCTATTTGAAAATTTAATAATTAAGTAACTAAGGAAAGATGATCATGCAGTTTTCATCACCTTGTAACCCATCTCAAAGTTTTAATTGACATGCTTTTTTTTCACTCTAGTAAGTAGTGTTACCCCATACAATGACAACCGTGCATGTGAAGGCTCAATGCATGGTTTGGTTTCCAGAGATTAAGTCAGTGATTGTGACACAGCATAATAATATATGCCAGTACAGGAAAGAACTACCATTGAAACCAACTACACTGTAGTGGATGAAGAAGTTTCTTGGAGACAAGACAGTGTATTACAGTGACCAAGAGCTGGAAGGACCTCTATCATATCAAACAAGTACATGAATCATTTCAGTGTAGCCATGAAAATCACTTAAGCATGCTTCACGAGAACTTAACATGCCAAAAACATCCCTGCTCCATGTTTTTCACAAACGACTTCACCTGCATGCCTTCAAACTTCGGTTGGTACAGGTAATGCAATCAGATGACAGATCACAACACAAGACATTTGCAGCGAACCTCCTTGACTGCATAGGTGAAAACACACTTCTAGCTTGTGTACTGTTTAGAAATGAGGCTACATTTCATACCTTAGGTAAAGTGAATTTTCATAACGTCCCTGTTTAGGGCCCAGAAAACCCCATGACACAAATGAAATAGTGAGTGATAACCCAAATATGAATGTATAGTGTGGAGGAAATACAACCATGGATAATCTTTCAACAGGCTGGTGCTCCACATGACTGGAGTTTGCTGGTCAAACACTTCTTAGATCAGACATTTATGAGGCAATTGATAGGTCAGGGTGGGCTAATTCTGTGGCCTCAACATTTGCCACACATCACTAGACTTCTTTCTTTGGGGTGGATGAGGGGAGTATGTTAAGGATATTGTGTACCACACACCTATAGTTAACATCATGGAGCTAAAGACGGATAATGGATACCATCGCCACTGTAACTGTGGACGTGTTGCAGTGAACATGGACTGATATCTAATATTGGTTAGGTATGCTGAGACCCACTAATGGTGCACATGTGGAATCTAGTAACATGTCAATAAAAACTGTTTGAGTTGGGCTACAAGATGTTGAAACTGCGTGGTTGTATTTCCTTAGTTATTTAATTATTAAATCGAAAAGATAATTTTGGACACCCCTGTATTTTCAGAGCTGTATGTAAGTAACAGAATATGATTGAGTGAAGGCTAAAGATGCTTTCTTTCTCAGCAAGCTATAAAAAAACTTAAGATTAGGCTAGACATACTCTTCCATGTTTATAGGGTGATTTTTTTCTGTGCTATGATATGATTAAATTATGAATGTCATACATTCACTGAGAATATATAATGGTAGACTGGGTAAGAAAATTTTCTAAAACTGTAGCTGTTCAGTTAGCAATATTTAAATTAAGGATGTGTATTTGAAACATGAGCTTTAAAAAACAACAACTATTGGTTACCAAACTTTTGTGATTATATAAACTACTGACTAAATGCTCAAAGAGCTCTAGGCAACACAATTTCTGAAATTCATTGAAAAGGTTTACCTGTCTACCAAAATCCAAGGACTTTCTAGTTCACACTTCTAACAAAATGATCTATTTCCAAAATGCATATATATATATATACTTAAAATGAACATTTTTTGTGCTGATTGCTAAGTTACTGAAACTTACTGAATTGGTTCTGTTTGACTGACCAGCAAAAGGATTGTAATCATCCAAACCTGACCTATTCTTGTCAGTTTGACTTGTTACTTGGGTAACAGCCGGGTCCTACATTGTAACATACAAAGGAATCTTATTAAAAGTATGTTTCAATAACACGGTGCATCATAATTGTTGAAGTTATGAATTAAAAAGGATCAAAATTTTCATACTAGCAATCTTAATTTTCAATGATCATATTAAGTATTTTCGAATGAACTACAACTAGATGCAATTACTTAAAATGTTAGTATATGATTATGTTCTACATTTAATTGCATAAGAAATGTTTCAATGGAATACAGTATCAAACTTGTAATATTTGAAAAAAATTTTTCTAATGAAATATAATATTTCAATACAGTTAGAAATGAAGAAACTTTTAAAACATTAATATACCTATACACAGTCAAAATTGTTGAATAGTGAATTTCAAGAATTTTGTCTGAGTATGGAATACTTGTTTTAACCCAAAATTTAGATTGTGGATAAGCTATTTATAAGTACTTCCATTTACATCTTCCACAGCCTGATTTCTTAATCTGCAGGGCTTGAGATTAATGACTATTCACCTTCTGGGACAGATGAAAATTGGCATGTTACCTGTCCAACAATTAAGGCACAATTTTCTGAGCATGCTTTTCCACCCAGAAATTGAAATAATTTTCACCACGTGTCCCACCATTTTTGTTTAGGGCAATGCCTGTTGCAAGCTGGTCAAATTTAGGTAAGTGTACAATGTATTCATTCATTTTTTTATACAAGTCAGTTTTATTGATTACGTTCTTTTCCTTCATTTGTCAAATAATATACTGTTGTTTATCAATACCAAGAACAAAGAAAAAAATTAATTGTTAACCTCATAAAAACAAGGGACAAGTATTATGGGAAAATAAACTTCACTTTCCAGTTGCTACAGTCTTGTGAAATTCTTTCATTTTCATTTTTGGGAGTTTATTATTATCCATTAAACATTTCATTTTATTAAATTTACATTCATTAAAAATTCATGTATACAAATAAAAATGTATTATCAATTTCAGTTCATCCGTAGAAAAAAACTGTATAAAGGTTTATCAACAAAGTAATGTAACATATTTGAACACCATGCATACAGGAATATTAAGACTGATTCCTTTTCATCTGATTCTTTTGTTTCAGCCATTGATTTCATTATATTTTTAATTCTTTCCACTTCCTTCTGTTTGATTACTTCTCATTTACAAAAAACACAGGGCCCTAGTGATTTGCATTTGATAGGTGGGGTAACCCTCTTCATTCTGAAGAAACTAGTATTTTCACAAGACGGAACTACCTGATTATCAAAATGTTGATGACCTGAAATAAAAGCCAACCTTTTCTGCAGCAAGTGATGAGCAAGGCATGTTCTATTAGGTCGTCAAGAAATTAATATAACTTTTTTATAGATGAAAAACCCGAAAAATTTATATATCAAAACAAAACATTTATTAAATGAAATAGTCTCCATTATTATCAATGATGCTTTTCCATCTTACAATCAGGTTGTTAATGCCCTGATCAAAGAAATCACTTGGCTTTGAAGCAAAATACATGTCAATGTCCTATTTAACACCTTCCACATTTGCATACGTCTTCCCATTAAGATGGTGCTGCAGCTAATGAAAAAGATGGCAATCTGATGGTGCCATATCTGGAGAATATGGAGGGTGGGGGAGAACTTCCCAACCCAACTCCATAATCTTGTGTTGTGTCCGACGTGCCACATGTGGACGTGCATTGTCGTGGAG